TTTTTTTTTTTGAGTTGGAGTCTCACTCTGTCACCCAGACTGGAGTGCAGTGACCGCTTCCGGCCACCGCAGCCTCGCCTGCTGGGCTCCGGCAATCCTTCCGCCTCAGCCTTCCAAGTAGCTGGAACTACAGGCATGCGCTACCACACCCGGCTAATTTTTGATTTATTTTAGAGATGAGGTCTCGCCAAGTTGCCCAGGCGGGTCTCAAACCGGCGGGCTCAGGCAATCCACTCAGCTCGGCCTCCCAAAGTGCTGGGATTACAGACTGAGCCACTGAGCCCGGCCCCATGCCTTTTTTTTTTAAGCTGGCAACTTCCATGGTACATTGTTTTTTCACTTCTTTTTCACCATTCTTTGTCAGTTTTAGTGGGTTTTTTTGTAAGCAACATTCAACTAAATTATGCTTTTATACTTTTTAAAATTAATTATATGCCTTTATTATACTTCCTCTTCACATTTTCCTTTTTCAAAAATCTAAGTTGATAACCATCTAGTAAATTAGCGAGATTAGTTCATTTTTACTCTGGTGACTGATCTATTTCAACTTAATTTTCAATATTTATTTTTATTATCTTCCTTTTTAACCATGTATCTTGAAATAATTATCAATTCGTAAGAAGTCACAGAGAAATATACAGGAGAGTTCCATGTCCTCCTCCCTCAGCTTCTCCCAGTGTCAGTATCTTATACAACTACGCTACTGTAGCAACACCAAGAAATTGACATTGGCTTAATGTGAATAAGCCATTTTACCCATTATGCAGGCATTCATCTGTGGGTGTATGTCTGTAACTCTGTGTATAGAGTGAGAGAAGAAAAGATTTATTTAAGAAAAGTTCATCCCCCCACAGACAGGGAGTGGGCCTGCACTCTAGGTGAGTGTGGCGTCGTAGCCCCCTGGCTTTATCATGTGTTAAACCTTCCATAGGCACCAGAACAATCAAGAAACTCAACCATATGGTCACCACAAAGCTTCCTTGAGTTACCCTTCGACTGCCTCTTCCCTCTCTCCCCCATCCCTAACCTCTGGCAATCACTAATCTGTTTTTCCATGCTTCTGATCATGTTATGTCACGATTGTCACATACATGCAGTTACGCATTATATATCTTATTGAGATTGCTTGTTTTACACTGCATAATTTCCTTGAGGCTCGTCCACTTCGTGGTGTGTTTCAATAGTTTATTCTTTTTTATTGTTGAGTAGTTGTCTCATCCACGCAGGCTGCTATAACAAAGTATCATCGATAGAGACGTTTATTTCTCACAGTTCTGGAGGCTGGGAAGTCCCAGGTCAAGGCACTGGCAGATTTAGTGTTTGTTGAGAACCTACCTTTTCATTCATAGAGGGTGCCTTCTGGCTGTGTCCTCACATGGAAGAATGAATGAGCTGGCTCTCTTGGGCCTCTTTTATAAGGTCACTAATCCTATTCTTGAGGGTGAACCCTCATGGCCTAATCCTAACCTTAGGGGTTCAGATTTGAGTACATGAATTCTGGAAAGACACATGCATTCTGACTATAGCAGTGGCATTTCATGGTCTAGATGTACAAGTTTGTCTAATCATCCACCCATTGATAGATACTTGGGTAGTTTCTGTTTATCATCTATTACAAATAAAGCTTCTGTAAACATCTGTATACAAATTCCTGAGTGAAAATAATTTTTCTGGGATTAATACCTAAGAGTGGGCTAGGTGCAGAGGTTCATGCCTGTAATCCCAGCACTTTCAGAGGCCAAAGCAGGAGGATTGCTTAAGCCCAGAAGTTCAAGACCAGCCTAAGCAACAGAGTATGACCTCATTTCTACAAAAATAAAAATAAAAAATTTTAAAAATGACTGGGCATGGTGGCATACACCTGTAGTCCTCAGCAACCGGGAGACTGAGGCAGAAAGATCACCTGAGTCCAGGAGGTTGAGGCTATTATTAGGGCACTAGACAGGGTGAGGGTGGAGAGGCGCAGGGAGGCATAGTACCACCTGAGCTGGCAAGCCGGGGGTGCGCACTGGCAACCCAGAGATCCAAGTAAATTGCAAAGAATTGCAACACACAGAGGTGAGAGAACAAAATATTTATTTAAGAAAAGTTCACACCCCACAGACAGGGAGTGGGCCTGCACTCTAGGTGAGTGTGGTGTTGTAGCCCCCCAGAGTCCTGGCTTAAATCCTTTTCTTGGAGATGTTGCACGTGACTGCCGTGACTTCCTTATGGAGCACCTGTGGATGTCTTGGAGATCCTATGACACAGAGACCCATTAATGTTCACCCACATTATCATAGCCCCCAGAGTAGGGCGAGACAAGGATTCTAATTGTCCTGCACCTTCCCAAACAACATTCCTTAGAGCTAGTGGAGGGTGCACCTCCCCTTATCTCCTGGGCATTCCCAGTGGGTAGCTTCGGGGATCCTTGGCTTCCCTGTAGAAAGCGCCCAATTTACTGGAAGATCAAATCTCCACCTGCTCTCCCTCTGAGCGGTTATAACTTTTGTAACTACAAGTTTCATAACTTTTGCAATCCTTGCCCAATGCATGATGTCTTACGCCTTGTAAATTCCCTTTACTCTAGGCAAGCTTGATTGCCACTATGAGATACCTCTGACATCTGGAAGTCTGTTTCTGAAAAGACAAAGTCGGTAAAGTTAATTTTACCTAAAGTATGCATTTCTCCAAAAGCATAGCTTCTACTTTCTCATCATTGTGTCAGGGTTTAAGAACAAGATGAAAAATGATTTCCCACTCTCAGTCTGTCCGTTCAGGTCTATCCTTTCAGCTATGATAAGCTGTGATCATGCCACTGCATTCTAGCCTGGGTGACAGAATGAGACCTTATTCAAAGCAACAACAACAACAACAAAACCCAAGAACACATTTGCTGAGTTTTATGTTAATCATGTTTTGTTTGGAAAAGACTATTTTCCAGAATCGCCATACCATCTTGCATTCCCACCAGCAATGTCTGAGTGATTCAGTTTCTCCACATCCTCACTGACATTTTCCCTTGACTGCCACACTTAACAGAACACTTCTGTGACTAGAAATGTTGGGGTTCCCCATATACTAAGCAGTTCTCCAGCAGATGCCAACTGGTCATAATATGACACAGTTCAAGCCTGGCACCACGTACCTGAGATAGCGTCAGACCCCACAGGTTGTCCCACAGGACTTCCCTGTCTTCCAAAGCCACTTTTATTTAGCAGGCTATCGCCCATACTTCTGGCTACAAACTGGGGTTCCCACAATTCTCTCCTTGGGTTTGATTAATTTGCCAAGACAGTTTACAGAACTCAAGGAAGCTACACTTGCATTTGCTGGTTAATTATAAAGGAATTACAGAGGATAGAGATGAATAGCCATGTGAAGATACAGAAGGCATGGGGGGGCGCTGGTCATAATTTCCACACCCTCTCTGGACTCCCCACCCTCCTAGCACCTCCACATGTTTGACACTCAGGAGTTTGTACAGAGCTTCATCTCATCCTCCTCCGCCCCCTCCCTGGAGGTTGGGGTGGGCTGAGACTTCCAACCCTCAAATTCCCTAACCACTTGGGCTTTCTGGTAATTGGCCCCATTCTGATGCCCTGGAGAAGCTTCACTCCAAAAGATTTCAGTGTACACTGCTTTGCAGTCAGAAGGGGGACATTATGAATTACAAAAGACATTCAGGTCCCTTTGGAAATTCCAAGGGTGTCAAGTGCTCTGTGACAGGAAGGAGGAAGAAGAGCAGGGATATTTTCGTGTCCCTCAGCTTCCCCTGTGCTCTTTTCCTCCTCAGCCTACTGACACTCAGTGGTTGATCTTGACAATCGTTCCTCTTTGCTTTCGCTGATCTTGACAATCGTTCCTCTTTGCTTTTTGTCTAGGAGAAGCACACCCTAGTTAAGTGCCACTCTACCTATCGCAGGCCTTTGGCAGGGCTGGAGAAAACAACACACCCTGTGCCGTCTGGTCTCATTTGAAAGTCATGAACACCCCGTCCATTGGGTCTCTAGCTCTACCCTGCTGACCTGTAGCAGTCTCCTCACCATATCCATGTTGTTGCATGTATCTATCGTTCATTCCTTTCTATTGCTTTTTTTTGGGTTGGAGTCTCACTCTGTCGCCCAGGCTGGAGTGCAGGGACACACTTTAGCCACCGCAGCCTCCACCTCAAGTGATCCTTCCACCTCAGCCTTCCAAGTAGCTGGAACTATAGGCATGTGCCACCACGCCTGGCTAATTTTTAAATTTATTGTAGAAATGAGGTCTAACCAAGTTGCCCGGACTGGTCTTGAACCTGTGGGCTCAGGCAATCCTCTCATCTCCCAATGTGGTGGAATTATAGGTGTGAGCCTCTACACCCCGCCAGATTCTTACTTTCATAGATAACTATTTCAAACCCCTTCAAACTATTCCCTTCTCCCATTGGAGGGAATTAACGCTGTTATTAATATTTTTGTCTTGTTTACTTTTGCTGAAGACGAAGCATTATATTCCTTAAACATGTTCAAGCTTTTTATGGGCCAATCTTATTTTTTTCTGGCTCATTAGACTCTGGCTGCTCTCCTAACTAGACAATACACTTGAGCTTTGAATTCGCCTAGCCACAATACTTAGTGCCTGTCTAATTGAAATCAATTTCTAATTGAATTCAAATCTTACTCTCAGTCTATGGTCCTGGTTTCGGGTTTCATTGAGAAAACAGAGGCGGTCAAAGGGAACTTACCCTTTCTTCCAGTGTGTACCAGATCTCCTTTCTGACTGCATCTGTAACAACAGAGGAACTATATTTGTGTTTCTTCTCTAAAACCAGTCTCTCTAACTTGTGCAGTGGAAATCATTTCCTCATGGCTGTCCAAAGCTATTGCTCTAAGAGTTGTCATTTCTCTGTCCTTTTCTCTCCATTTTTCCTCTCCACAGTATCATAATATCTCCTTTGATTTTAACATCCCGTGGTCCTCTCCACCTACATTTGGTTCAATTTCTTTGGTTCTCTCATAGCAAAGACCATAGACCATCCCATTTACCAAGACTTTGTTACGCTATAAGTTTGAAAAATTCTATTAATTATGTTTGGGAAATACAGAGCAACCTTGAAGATTTACGGGCATGTTAGCAAGCTGGGGTATCTGAGATTTCTATTTTAAGGAACCATGTTTGCTTACCCATTTACCCAACTTATTGAACACAAAACACTTTTAGTAAAAGAATCTATGGGGGGGGGGTTTTGTACTTTTTTTTTTTTTTGAGTTGGACTCTCACTCTGTCACCCAGGCTGTAGTGCAGTGGCATGCCCATGGCCACCACAGCCTCAACCTGCTGGGCTCACGTGATCCTTCCGCCTCAGCCTTCCAAGTAACTGGAACTACAGGCACGTACCACCAAGCCCAACTAATTTTTTTCTTTTTTTGATTGATTATAGAGACAAGGTCTCACCAGATTGCCCAGGCTGGTCTCAAACCCGTGAGCTCAGGCAGTCCTCTTACCTTGGCTTCCCAAAGTGCTGGGATGACAGGCTCGAGCAACTGTCCCTGGCCTGTAGTTCTTTTTTTTTTTTTTGAATTGGAGTCTCACTCTGTTACCCAGGCTGGAGGACAGTGGCATGCTCCTGGCCACTGCAGCCTCGACCTGCTGGGCTCCAGCCATCCTTCTGCCTCAGCCTTCCAAGTAGCCAGAACTACAGACACGTGCTACCACGCCCGGCTAATTTTTGATTTATTGTGGAGATGTGGTCTCGCCAAGTTGCCCAGGTGGGTCTCAAATCTGCAGGCTCAGACAATCCTCTCATCTCGGCCTCCCAAAGTGCTGGGATTATAAACTGAGCCATCGAGCCCGGCTGTGTACTTTTTAAACACAATTTGAGAAATGTCAAACTACTCAATTGTGATAATAGGGAATTTATTTAAAATAGCAATCTTCTCAGCTTAACGAAACAATAACAAAAGTTCAAGGGTTTTCTCCCCGTCCCACTCAGGATGATGTACTGTGCTTCTGGCAGAGGTGACATCTTTTTTTTTTGAGTTGGAGTCTCACTGTCGCCCAGACTGGAGTGCAGTGGCCGCTCCCGGCCACCGCAGCCTTGACCTGCTGGGCTCCAGCGATCCTTCCACCTCAGCCTTCCAAGAAGCTGGAACTACAGGTGCACGCTACCACGCCTGGCTAATTTTTTTTGCTTTATTGTAGAGATAAGGTCTCGCCTGCCCAGGCGGGTCTCGAACCCGCGGGCTCAGGCAATCCACTCACCTCAGCCTCCCAAAGGCGCGGGATTACAGGCTGAGCCACCGAGCCCGGCCAGAGGTGATATCTTAAGGTGCTGATACTAACCAGGCACAGTGGCTCACACCTGTAATCCCAGCACTTTGGGAGGTGGAGGTGAGTTTAGGGGCTCAAGACCAGCATGGGCAATTTGGCAAGACCTCATCTCTACAATAAATCAGAAACTTAGTGCATGCCTGTAGTTCCAGCTACTTGGAAGGCTGAGGTGGAAGGATCGCCTGAGTCCAGAAGGTTGAGTCTGTGGTGGCAATGAATGTGCCACTGCACTCCAGCCTGGGTGACAGAGTGAGACTCCAACTCACTTTTCCTGACGACAAAACATATATTCCTTAAACATGTTCTAAAACAGCAAAGCCTTTTATGGGTTGATAATTTTTCTGGCTGTGGTCTAACTCATTAGACTCTTGCCGCTCTCCTAATGTTAGCTTTGAACTCACCTAGCCAGGATATCTAGTGCCTTTCTAATTGAAGTCAACTCCTGTGTTATAGGTGTCTGGAGTGGATTTGCAGAATGCCTCCCACGGAGAAGCAGTTGAGGCCATTAAGAATGCTGGAAACCCTGTGGTGTTTGTTGTTCAGAGCCTGTCACCCACTCCAAGAGTAAGTTCTAGTTCATGCTTTCAGAAAGTTTAGTAATATACTCTCTGTCTGTGGACCAAGCTTTAGCCTCAGTACTTTTTCACACATTTCCATGATTACTTTTAGCTATCCTATTGCTAAGAAAAAGTATGACTGTCATAAAAATGCCATTAACTTCAATTTCTCTTCTTTTTCTTCCCATTTTGTCTGTCTATCTATCTATCGATCTATCGATCTATCAGTTTATCTGTCTATCTATTTATCTACTTTGAGTTGGAGTCTCATTCCATCGCCCAGGCTGGAGTACAGGGGCACGCTCCCGGCCACCGCAGCCTCGACCTGCTGGGCTCCGGCGATCCTTCCGCCTCAGCCTTCCAAGTAGCCAGAACTACAGGCATGCGCTACCACGCCTGGCTCATTTTTGGTTTGTTGTAGAGACGAGGTCTTGCCAAGTTGCCCAGGCTGTTCTCGAACTGTGGGCTCAGGAAATCCACTCACCTTGGCCTCCCAAAGTGCTGAGATTACAGGCTGAGCCACCGATCCCGGCCATTTCCTCCCATTTAATCTTCTGGTCAAATTTGAGTCCTTAGAGTGTGTGCTGGTTTAAGTCACAGGCTATGTTTTCAATTCCTTGATTCCCTGTTTCCCACCTTTGCTAACTTGGAGGCAAGTTCCTTAACTTTTCTGAGCTAGTTACTTTGTCAGACACTTTGAACATAAAGAGGGTCGGATGAAGAACATTTTAGACATACTGTCAACTGTACTGTAGATCTATTAAAGTATGTAAAAACACAAACGTGTTGACATGTTGTATGTTCTAATGGTAGAGATTCCATATGTAAAACATTTTCTAAGCTTTGGCCCCCTCCGCTACCTTGGGGAGGCGAATCACCTCTTTCTCTCTCTCTAATTTACTTTCTAAATCAACTATATTTTCTATTCTTAAAAAAAAAAAAAAAAGAACATTTTCTTCTATGATTCGTTACTGCTTTGGTGTGAATTGGAAATCTGATAGGAAGATGTAATGCAGGGTATGTATTTTATTGCAATGTGCAGCAGAAATGTTTTCCCTAAATCCTGACACTGGAAGCAGTAATATCTTTCTTTATCTCATAGTGGAAGATAGCTGTTCAAAACACAAGCACTCCCGAACAGCAGAAAAACTGCGCATATTTTAAAAATTATTTGCTTTTCAATATAGTTATGTAGTGCTTTCCAACCTTTTGCATGTCAAGGCATATGGAAAACAATACTTGCATGTCAAGCTGGGCAGTTGGATGGCTGGCCGCCCCAGGGGTGGGGGCATTGATTTGAGATTTCAGTGTGCTTGTGACCTGCTGCACATGATGAACTGCGGCCTTTGTCTCACCTGGGCACCTCTGCTGTGTTGCACTGCTTTACAGTCCAGTGCCTTCCATTCTTAACACCATGTTGACACTAGCAAGAACAATTGAGAGAGGTGAGCTGAATAAGGTCCTCTCATTCTCATGACATTTGAAATTCAATAAGGACTTGTAGAATCCAGTTTTTAACTCTTATAATATTGAGAATGTAGCTGAGGCCTTGACTTTTATTTCTGGAAACTGAGCTCCGTGGGAAAATTGACCAGATTATTATTTGCCAAATTATACTTCCAAATCAACAAGTTTGAGAGAGAATGAGCCAATCAAATTATACCTTTGTGCGGCTAGCAGTGAATGCCCTGCCGAAAAACATTCAAGGCATTTAAATAGGTTATAAAGTCAACCAAAAAGGCCAAGATTTCAATCCAGCTTTTGCTGGTGAGCTGAGGTGGACATTTTTGCTTGGATGACACAAACAGTGCACTTTCCTTCAACTGTTCTAAGAAAAAAGAAAATCCCTTTAGTGTCACGCTCGGGTCACTTATTCCCTATGTGATACAACAGACTACCACGTTGGACATTCACATTGAACTATGTGTGGCTCTAGTGAAGGGCCATGTCCTGTTGATGATATTAATCACACTCTGTCCATGACTTGTTCCATCTTCATCCTTGTTTTTTGTGCAAAGTAGTTCTTATTACATGAAGCAAATGAGCGGAATCACGTTTCATATCTTTGCAAAATGGTGCTCTCCCTGGCTTACTTATTATTGCCCAGTAGTACAGATCATCTAGAAGGAGAAAATGTAGGCAATGTGTAATCAGTTGTTGTCTTGTTTACATTAAATTTTGAACTTTCCTTAAAACCTAAAGAGAAGTCATTTCCTAATCGTATGCCCATCAAAGGCCAGATGTCTTGCTCAACTAAAAGTTCTTATCAATACCTTGAATTGGGTGGTAGTTTATATATGGGTGCACTATCAGCTGCTTTGGGAGTATCACCAATGCACCTTATTTTCTTATTTATTATTATTATTTTTTTAAGAGACAAGGTCTCACCAAGTTGCCCAGGCTGGTCTTGAATCCCTGGGCTCAGACAATCCTCTCACCTCTGCCTCCCAAAGTGCTGGGATTACAGGTATGAGCTACTGCGCCCGGCCACCAATGCACCTTTTAAAACTTCTTCTCCTGTCTCAAGTGGATTTTTGGCATACTGGGAAAATGTGTGTATCTACTTAGATTTACTTGGCAAATGTTTATTTGAAAGCAAGACTCATAGAGAAGTTTTCTGCTGAGGTAATTTTTTCCACTTAGTAACATAGCTACGTTTCATAGAAACATCACATTTTTTCCCCCCACACTCCAAAAACAGACCCTTTTGAAATCGGGTTATCTCTTCAGCTCGTTAAGCTTTCCATGTGTTGCTTTCTTTCTTCCTACATTACAGTTTTGTTACCTAAAACCATTGCTCCATAAGGGCATCTACTTTTTTTGGACACATGCAATTTTGCATATTATTTATATATAAATTCAGGAGACCCCAAAAGCCCAGAATTTATTTATAAAAATTATGTACCTATTTTTACATGTTTAATCTTCAGTCACCTTCAGAGTCCTCTGTTTGATGTGATACACCTATCGAGATGGTTTTTCCACTGCTCAAAACATTTTTTGAACTCATCCATTTTGATGCCTTTTAGTGCTTCTGCCATTTTCCCCCCCACCTTTTCCACATCAGCAAAACGTTTCCCTTTGAAGACTTTTTTCATCCAGGAAACAAAATAAAAGTTGCTTGTGGTGAGATCAGGTGAATAGGGAGGATGAGGCATGGGGGGAATCATGCTGTTTTCAGTAAAAAAACTGCTGAACACTCAGTGAGGTTTGAGTGAGTTGTTCCTGTAAATCACCTGTGAAATGAACAAGCACGTTGAAAGAATCTCCAAAAAAAAAAATCACTGAAGCTGACCACAGCCTTTCATAACAATGCTAGCTGGTATACTAATGCCCATGAACTCTTAGAACACTTACCTAGCAGGAAAAGCCTGTACTACAAGGGGCCTGTCCTCCAAAAAATAATTCTGGTGTTTTTCTGACTCTCCCCTCGTACATTCTTACTTTCACATGAAATATGCTGTCTTCTGTTTTTCTAAAAGATGCAGTCTTATTGAACATTTTGTCTTCCAAATTTTGCTAACAATATGTATACAGAAATACATTTCTTTTATTTAAAACAAACCATGTTAAACGCTATGAGTGGCAACTGACATTCTGTCCCATCCCAAAGCTTCTGCTTTTTGGCCGCAGCTAGTTTCTCCATGGGAGACAGATAGCCTAGTGTGGGCAGATATCCTGACTTGTCAGGGAGGCAGAGTATTTTGTTTTAAGAATCTTCAGGACAAGAAACACATGCCTGTAGACCCACCAGTCTTTGAACTCTGTCTTAGATTACTGTGTATATGAAATAAAGGTATACATACTAGGCACTAGCACAGTGATCGCATAGGAAACACAGTATACATGAATGTATCATTTCTATTGTTTTTCATGTAAATGAAACATTTCTGAGACGTTCATTTATTTATAAAAGTGTTTAAATTTTAAACATTTATATTGTATTAAATGAATAAAATTTAATCTTAAATTGTATTTGGAGGGAAGTGGGTGTTTTGGGTTTTTGTTTTATTTTGCTTTTTAATCATCTCTAGCCAGGCAGTCTGTTATTTTCTGAGCAAGAAGATTTTTTTTTCTTTTAATCTTTTAATCTTCATGCCTGTCATCAGATTTTATGCCAAGAATATTTGTGCTAGCCCTTTGAAGAGATTTAAAAAAAAAAAATCACTAAAAATTTTGTATTTTCCTAAGACGCTTAAAATGTTTGCCCCCCCCAATCAAAAAGGCATCTATGCTGTTACATCATTAAGAGTTAAAATTATTTTTTATAAAATTGAGCTGCTTTGTTCATTGATGAACATTCATTGAGTGCAATATGTATTTCACCCTTTCCGAGCACCAGAGAAGTAGCAAAAAACAGTATTACAACCCTGCTCTTACTGACCTTATTTAGTGATGAAAATGAATTTGTTATGTCATCCTTACGCCAACAGTAAGAGTGAAATACTTACTGAGTACACACGTTGTGCTGCATCCCATACTTGACCTGGGAGTACAATGATAAATGAGGTAATCTAGCAAATAAATGTGTTCTCCTGTGTTCTCGGAATTCATTAGGTCAGAACCCATGCTTTATTTTGCAAAACAAGCTATTTGGATGATGAGAGGGTCATGATCTTCTTTTCACTTCTCCTCTTCTTCATTGTCTGGAGCCACACACACATGTGAATTTATATACTCTGATGATATGTGTGCGTGTAAAATTCTATAATATTTTAAGGTTGTGCATCTCGTCAGATTTTCCAAGTCTTACTGTTTGTCTTAAATTGTACTTCTCCTATTTTTACTTTTCAGATAAAGTTACAAGGTTAAGATTTTAGCTGTTTAAACAAATTCATAAAGAAATAGGATGACTTCCAAAAAATTCTTCATTCTGAAAAATCAAAAAAGTAGAAAAAAAGAAATGCAATGATTATGACATTTAAACTTTTTCTTTTTTTCCCCCACCTCTTCTTTTGTGGTGATAGGTCATTCCTAGTGTACATAACAAGGCCAGCAAAGCCACCAATAACCAGGACCAAGATACCAGAGAAAAAAAAGAAAAGGTAACTTGACCCTTTTAAAAGAGGCTTTTGATTCCTTTTTGCATATCTGAACTATAATTAATAAAAGCGATTTTTTGATTAGTGTCAGCGTGGAAGCACTGTATTTGTATTTCCTTCCTGTGATCTTAATTGGTTCTCCAGGATGAAGGCCAGAAACCTGGTGAAATGCAAAATACAGAGGGTGCCAGAAAATGTATACACATTTAAGAAAGAAAAAAATTGTGTTGAAATTGTAATACTTGCCGGGCGCAGTGGCTCATGCCTATAATCCCAGCCCTTTGGGAGGCCAAGGTGAGGGGATTGCCTGAGCCCACAGGTTTGAGACCAGTCTGGGCAACTTGACGAGACCTCACCTCTACAATAAATCAAAAAATTAGCCAGACGTGGTGGCGCATGCCTGTAGTTCCAGTTACTTGGAAGGCTAAGGCAGAAGGATCGCCTGAGCCCAGCAGGTTGAAGCTGGGGTGGCCAGGAGCGTACCACTGCCCTCCAGCCTAGGTGACAGAGTGAGATTCCAATTTAAACAAAAAATTGTAATACTCAATATATGCTGATAACAAAAAATGAATACAAGTCATGTTTGACTTCTGCAATTAAAGTGGTTGCCGTGAGGGTCTGGACACTTCTGATTATGGCAAACTAAAAGTAATACATGGATAACATTGCTTAAAATATAAATATATCTATTTTGGCAACCCTGGTATCATACAGGGTCAGCCAGCCACCGCCGTCTGTGTCTCTCTCTCCTGTTCAGGGGCCTGGTTGTTGGTCCATTCCCAGAACAGGCCTCTCGACATTCGAGACTTGGCTCTCTTGCTCATCACCCAGCCTGGAAGTCCATTTCCTTCCCATCGGACTCCTTTTCGTCCTTCTGGGGCCTTACATCAAAGGTCATCCTCTCCTGAGAAAATTTGACTTGACATTACTAGTCTATTCTTCAATCCTGTCTTCCCACCTCTATTCGAGGAGAATTTATTGACCTAAAAAATATCTGAAGATATAGGATAAGGTAGGGTTGAATTTTCGTTTTTTCCTCGCAAAGGGAACCAACTTTCCCACTGTTTAAAGCAGGAGCTTGTTTTAAAGCGGGAGCTGCTTTACCTACTGATCTGTACTGCAACTCTGTCCTATCTTGGGTTGTAAGGGGGAGTCTTTCCAAATCTTCTCTTTGTTCCGTTTGGTCAACTTGTCCATCCTAGGGTAATGCTGAACTATGTAAACCTGCTAATAAGTTTTGTTTCCTGGTAGAGCAATTTGTTTTCCATATTTCTTCCTTTTTTTTTTAACTTTTAACTTTTTCATTTTGAAGAGGTGGGGTATAGTTCAGGGTTAAGTATACACATGTTCATGATGCAGTTCCCCTTGTTGATGAGGCGTGGCCCCCTTCCCCAGGCAGACTCCCACTACTGCCAATCCCGTTTCCCTGCCTCCCTCCCAGCAGTTTCCTGCTACTGCCAATTCTTTTCTTACAGTATTTCCATAATTGTTCAAGATTCGCATATGAGTGAGAACATGTGATGCTCAGTTCTTTGTTTCTGTGAAAGGTCACTCAGTATTATAGACTGTAAGTCCATCCAGGTTGCTGTGAAGTTCGTGATTTTGTTCTTCTTTGTGGCTGTGTAATATTCCATCGTGGATATGTACCACATTTTTCTTTTATCCAGTCCTTTTTTGATGGGCAGCACGGTTGGTTCTGTGTTCTTGCTATTGTGAACAATATGTATATATGCAGGTATCTTTTACATAGAGTGATTTAAGTTCTTCTGGGTATATTCCCAGTAGGGGGATTGTGGGGTGGTATGGAAGGTTGATTTTTAGATCTTTTAGGAATCGCCACATTGCTTTCCACAGAGGTTGTAATAGTTTACACTCGCACCAACAGTGTGGAAGTGTTCCCTTTTTGCCACATCCTCTCCAGCATCTGTTGTTTTTTGGGTTATTGATGATGGCCATCCTGACTGGAGTTAGGTGATTTCTTCTTCTTTAGAAGTGTTCTTATCTGTCTGGGGACGGGGTGGGGGGAACACTCCTTATCTACAAGGGTGCCTGAACAATGCATATTTGTATACCTAACCCTTAACTGTACCCCACAATTTTAAAATAAAAAATATGTTAAAAAAAAAAATAAGTGTCTTACCTTTGGTAGAAATGGTGTTGGATCTATAGAGTAATTTAGAAAGAAGTGACAACTTTCTGATGTTGAGAATTTTTAACCATAAACATGGTATATTTTCAATTTATTAAATTATTCTTTCAATTAATTTTATAATTTTCTTTAGAAAGATATTGAAGTATTGTGATTTATTCATCAATTTCCTTAATAGTGTTTGTTGTTATTAAATGATATATTTTTAAAATTGCATTTTCTGTTTGTGTCTAGCGTACATGCTTGCTTTTCATATAATTATTTGGCATCTTGTAACATTATTCTTTAATTCTTTTATAACATAAAGTAATCCAATGCACAACACTGGGGATATCATGATACTGAAATTTTAAAAAGCCAAAACCCAAAAATCTCTCAGAAACTTACCACTTAAAGATAAATGTATTAAATATTTCATGTAGAGCCTTCTGATGTCTTATTGTGTGTATGTTCCATAAATATATATAGGCTCTTTTTAATAATATGCATCTCAAATTCTAATACTATGTCTGCAGATTTTTATTTTTGGATTTTCTATGCAGATAATAAGTAACAGTTTCTATGCAGATAAATAATAAACAGTTTCCTTTTTCTTTCCCAATCTTCCTTTTTCTTGTTTTCTTATATCTGCTTAGACCTCTAGGACTGTGTTTAAGAGAAGTAATGATAGCTACCATTCTTATTATTCCTTCTGATATTTAAGGAAAAGCTTTTAATATTCTACTGTTGAATATGATGTGTGCTGTAGGCATTCGTAGATAATCTTTTAGGTTAAGAAAATAATTCTCTTTCATTTCTACTTTGCTAAGAATTTTCACCATGATTGGCATTGAATTTTACCAAATGTTGAACCAATCTTAAAATTAATATGGTTATGATTTTCTTTTTTCCCATTGTCAGAATTATTTCTTTTAGGATTTTTCTAACCGTGGTAATGAGTGAGATTTACCTAGAAGTTTTTATTTGTATACTGTCCTTTTTGACTTTGGTGATGGTACACTACTAAAATGAATAGTAGGAGCATTTGTTCTCTTTAGTTCTCTGAGAGTTTATGCAAAATGATAATTGTCAAGTCCTTCAATGTTTGGTCAAACTACCCTATAAAGCCATTTTGGGCCTGAGTTTTCTATGTGGGAAAAATTTTAAATACTAATTTAATTTAAAAATTTAAAAATGAATTGAAAGAACTTAAAGAGTGATTTAGTTCAAAATTTTATGATACTGATTTAGATAATTCAACCATTCAGATTGTGTTCTATTTCTTTTAGGGTCATTTTTAGTCATTGATGCTTTTCAAGGAATGTTGATATCACCTAAGTTGTTTACATTTGTTGGCATAAAGTTACTATGTATTCTTTTATTTTTTTATTTTATTTTTTTTGAGGTGGAGTCTCACTCTTGTCACCCAGGCTAGAGTGCAGTAGCATGTTCATGGCCACAGCACTCTCCACCTACTGGGCTTAGGTGATTCTTCCGCCTCAACCTTCCAAATAACTGGAACTACAGACACACGCCACCACGCCCGGAGTTTTTGTGATTTATTGAACAGATGAGGTCTCACCATGTTGCCCAGACTGGTCTCGAACCCCTGGACTCAGTCAGTCCTCTCACCTCAGCATCCCAAAGTGTTGGGATTACAGGCTGAGCCACTGCACCCGGCCATGTAGTCTTTTAATTTTGCTTCTGTTCCATCCTTTGTAGTTTTTTTTCATTCTTAATATAGAGATTGTTGTTTGAGTAATATTAATTCTTTGACATTGGTTGAGTTTTTAACTGACCTAATATATAGTCAGTTATTTTAAATGTTTTATTTGTAATTAAAAAGAATAGCTATTATCTAGTTATGGGAACAGAATTTTATAGCAAGTTGTTAGGTCAAACTAATTGGTTGAGTCATTCAACTATTTTATATACTTATTGTTTTTTGTTTGCATAATCTAATGGTTGCTCATTTTGATAGTAAAATGAGTATATTTTTCAGTTTTTATTTTGCATGTTTTCACTTTAATTTATTAGATGCCTTCAAGTTTACAATTTTTGTATCTTCCTGGGAATTGACCTTTTTATTAATACTTGGCAGTATTTAGTAATGCCTTAACATCTATTTTTTCTAATATCACTGAAACCATGCTGGTCTTTTTTTTCCTGGTGTTTGCCTGGTATTTTGACTTGAAAACTTTTTAGGTCGCACACATTAAAAAGAATTCAGAGGCCGGGCGCAGTGACTCAAGCCAGTAATCCCAGCACTTTGGGAGGCCGAGTGAGAGGATTGCCTGAGCCTGTGGGTTGGAGACCAGCCTGGGCACCTTAGCGAGACCTCATCTCTACAATAAATAAAAAAATAGCTGAGTGTGGTAGTATGCACCTGTAGTTCCAGCTACAGGAAGGCTGTGATGGAAGGATCACCTGAGCCCAGCAGGTCGAGGGTGTGGTGGCCGTGAGCATGCCACTGCACTCCAGCCTGGGCGACAGAGTGAGACTCTGACTCAGAGAAAAAAAAAAAGATTTCAGATCTTCAACCTTGGTGAGTCTCGCGTTGTCTGGAATTCTCAGGGGACACCTCTGTCTCTTCCACCTCAAGCTAAGATCAAGGCCGGGAAATATCCTGACTGTAATCACAATTTTGGTTTGTTTGTTTATGTTTTTATTTTCATCCACTGCAGATTTTACTGTGTTAGAAAAACAGCCATAACTAAATTGAACACATGGGAAAACTTTAATAACAGACAGGTGTATGGGGGCCAGTCAAGACACTGACTGTTTGAGGAGCTGGGGAAAGCGTTGTTGAAAGGATAAGGAAAAGTAACTTTAGGCTGCTTACCAGATTATAGGATTGTCTCTTTAACTTGGTCTT